CCCTAGAACAGCGAACCGCGGCCAGTGGGAGCTGCAATTGGCTGAACCTGTGGCTACTGCAGGTAAACAAACTGTCCCGGCCCGCCAGCAGATTTCCCTGATGGGCCACATGCCAAAGGTTGCCGATCCTTGGTCTAATTATAAGGTGATGAGTCTCTCCTGTGCTGGGCTCCAGCCAAACTGCAAGCCAGGAACCAGTCTGGTAATTCCAGGGCAGGTATATAAGCTCAATGGATGAATAGCAACTCTAGGGCAGCAATTCTCAACCCGCGGCCCAGTTAGCATACAACATGCTAAACGCCACAGGACCCGCAGCGGGGTCTGGGCAGCTGGGTGCCGCCCAGGCCAGCATGGCGCAGTATGGGGTCCCTGCAGGGTCTGGGGTCCTGACTGTCCCCCGATCCCCCCTCAGCAGGGTCTGGCCAGCCAGCAGGGATCAGGGGTCCCCTTACAGCAGGGTCCAGGGTAGGGGTCCCTGCCTTCCGCTCCACACTCAGCTCTCCACTCCTGCCCTCACTCTGTGGAGGGGTCTCTGGGTGGAGGGCATTGAGCATGGGGGGTTGTGGGGGAGGTTAGGTGGGGGGCCCTGTGGTTCTCAACCTGTGGCCCAGGTAACATTTTGTGAGCCACATATGCGGCCCACAATGATAAATAGGTTGAGAACCGCTGCTCTAGGGCTTGGAATTCTTGCCTGCCTGACAGTGGTAACAGACTCCCCAAGCCTTGCTCTCGCTCCAGCCCTGTTCCTAGTTCTGCTCTCACTCCATTGACTCGATTCTGGCTCTGACCCCTGGCACCAACCACTAGGCCCAGCTGCCACAGCTCCAACCACTAGCCATGACCATCCCCATCATGGTTTCTGACATCAACAAATAAAAGTCCAGTGTGCTTATATTAGGTCTCCGGCCCCAACTCAGGGCCCTATGGTTCTTCCATTCCCTTGGCTCAGGGCTTCCAATGTCCTTATCCCCTTATCTCAGGGTGAGGGCTTCACACCACTTTCTCTGTTGGCTGGTAGGTGAACCCAGGCCTTCCCCATACACCAGGTTCCAGTCCAGGGTCCCTATAGCCAGCAGCCAAGGTCTGCGCCACAAAATTCCTTACTGCTGCATCCCTGGACCTCTTCCTACCCAGATTTTCTCAGCCCTTCTCCCCACAACCTCTAAATTCTCCCTTGTCTCACGCCAGGTCTCACAGGGTTCTCCCCAGGAAGCCCCCAGTAGAATCTCAAAGTACCAATTTCCAACCTTCTCAGGCTTCACTTTTCATCCCCCTCTGCTGTGGTTTCCCCTGCTTTGTTCCTTAACTGAACACTTCCCAGGGCTCTCTCCCTGGACATCCAAATCCTGCCCTTCTTTCAGGGCACACCATCAGAGCCTTCTCCATCCTAGTGACTGCTCTATGCCTCCCCTCCTCTCCGCCAGCCTCCTCTACTCAGGGTAGGATCCTAGGGCTTATTCTCCCCCTGAGTTTTCTCCCCACAACCTCTCTAGTCACAAAGAGGGACTGCAAAGTTCTTTCCTCTCCTCCCTACAGTCCCTTTCTTTCTTCTTTTCTTTTCCTGTCATTTTATGGCTCAGCAGCCTCAACATGTGAGGCTATGACTGTCACCTACCACAATTTTTACATAATCAAAAGCTTATGTCTGCTCACCCTGTCCTGCATCCTTTAAAAATACACTGTAATGCTTTTTTAATGCTACCCCACTTTCCCTGTTCTCTCACCAATCCTTTCAGACTATATTCTTTCACCTTGACACATCTCAGTTCTTCATAAAGAGAATCTTTCTTTTTGCATAATTCTCCCTGCGTTGCCACAGCAGATGGTCAACTGTTTCTTTAACTTTGCATGTTTCGCACAACCCGTTTTTGTGCACATTTAGTAGATATAAATTACCATTTAGGCCACAGTGGCCTGTTAGCACTGTAAATATAGTTATGGTGCTTGTTCTGTCATAACTGGGAAGTATAACATTATCCTTAAGTCTAGGACATATCTCATAGAACCGTCGTCCTTTTTTCTCTTTGCACTCTCTTCATAGTTAAGAACAATATTTTGTCATTCCTGCTCTCTGAGGTTCCCTTACTGATTGCTGTTATACTCAAAGAGTCAAACAGGATAGCAGTTGTAGCTTGGCATACGTTCCTTAGCCAGGTCAGTGCCAACAGTATGCCCGTGTATTCGGCCGTCATAATGGCCACCAAATTGGATAGTCTCATAGATCTCTTAATTCCAAATTCAGGGATACAAAAGGCCATTCCCACACTACCAGTGTCGTCATCTTTAGGTCTGTCAATACAGAATGGACAATGCTGATCCCATTTGCCATATATAAACTCATAAATTTTATTTGTTATGCTGTCTGGAGTGGTGCACAATGATGTGTGCCAGCCACAGGGCAGACTGTTAAAAAGCAGGGCAGAAATCCCAAACTGCTTCTAAACTCTATAATTAGATTTCACCAGCCCTGTCACAAGTGTGAACTCCTAAAGCACGCTAACAGTCTTACCATGGAGTCACAGATGGTCCCCTTGGGCATTCCAGTCTTTCTTGCCACTCAGGCAAGCTGGAGTATGTGATAGATGGTCACTTATGCCAAAAAAAATCACGATAATATTCAGATTGCTCCCAGTCCCACAGGACCAGTCACGTACCCCAGGTGACTTGTACTCAGATGGCAAACCAAGGCCAACACCTGTAGCCAATCCTGTAATTAACTAAAGATAAGAAATGAGAATTATTTACAAGATTAAGCAGGTAAGCATACACATACAAGTGAGGTACAATCTTAAATTCAAAAGGTAATTGAAGTTTCTATAATAAGCAAGCTTTTATGTCCTTTGGGACTAATCCATGCTAAGCAGCTTGGGGATCTCTTGCTTATGCCTAGGAATCCTTGCCCCTCAGAGGTCAGACAGCATAAAGAGGCCTCCATTTCTTTTGCTTAGGATTTTTATTCCCCCCTTTCCCTTGAGTCCAAGCTGATGGGACAGATGCTCCTGGACGGAACGTATTCGTGGTGGGGCGGGGGAGGGGGGGAGAGCAGTCGACAAAGTCTCTACTCCACAGTGGCCCATTTGGATTCAATAGTCTTTCCTGGTGGGCAGGAGCTAACACTTCTTGGGGTAAACTAGTATTTCACACTGGGTAGTGCTTCTCCCCTGACTGTGGGGAATTTATAGTCTTAAATATTTGTATAACATTACCTTATAACATGGGATGCAAATATTATAGGTAGGGTTAATACATGCAGCATCCTACAAGCGTTCCATAAAGTCTAAACATATGGTTATAACGCTAGCGTCTCTTTTGATAATGCTAACATACAGGTGAGCCACACTGGTTTCCAGCTATGCGATTGCAAGTGTTCAGTGAGGCCTAGGGACCTTGGCATGAGCCGGCACCTGGTCTGCCAGCATCACAATCATATCTGATGGCTCTGCTTTTTCCTTTATCTTATCATATAATTCCAAATTCACAACTGAAGAGACAACTGTCCAGGTATAGTTTGACTGCTCATGACTGACGATTTCAATCTCTCTCGGTCCTTCCTTTTCACTCATTTTCCACTCCCTCCCATCTTTTGACCCGGTTAGCATGTGGGAGTAGGTGACATCCAGTTACATCTGATCTATTTACTTCCCAACCATCTTCATATATTTGTTTAGTATTCTTATCTTCACTGTTTCCATTAATCTTAGCCCAAAAGGTTAAATGTAACAATTTCATCCTTAAACATATAGTAGCTCCTTGCTTCACACACAATGGTGCTGTAACATTTTACCACATGGCATTAACCTGTGCTTGGGCGTGGATCAGCTCTAATTCTTTAACTGTTAATTTCAAAGATGAAGATTTCAAAGGCTTGCCTCCATAATCTATAACTGGTTTTATTAGTGCCCTATTCAGCATCATCAGTGAGTTCTTATCTCTTGTTCCCAGCAATACTTTTAAGCAGATTCATCCTCTTTTTACATTTACACTGGATATTAACTATTTGACCCTTCCAAATTAGTTTATCAAACACAAGTCCTAAGAATGTAAAGTTTTGAACTGGCTGAATTTTCTCTGCATAGAAATGGAGGTTCCATGCTTCCCCAATCTTTCTTTCTGTGAAGATCCAGTCCCTTTCTGCTCTCTACTTGCTCTATTTTTTTATATTAACCACCTAGCTTCTTCTGCAGCTTGCCTTCATCATTAATTAAGCCTCAGCCACCCTCCAGGTGCAGCCAGTTAGCATAGCTGACCTCTGAGGCCCATATCAACCCTTTCAAAGCCTAAGTGGGTTACACACCCCATTATATCTGCATTACAAAAAAAGGAGAGCACTAAAATTTTCAGTGCAAACAAGGGTTTGTGAATTATTAATGCCTTCATGGGTTTTTGACCTCCTTTGTAAAGTTCTTTGAGATCTGCTGATAAAAAGCACTAGATGATATTATTGGTGCCAAAATGTTAATTGCACAGAAATGTTAATTTAATGTTTCTTGGCTTTCAATACATGCCAAGTGGGTTTGCTTTATTGTTACTGCAATGCCATTTTATTAGTAATGATTATTCTATGCATTTCTAAAGTGTCCATCATGGTGGTAACACCTGAACACTCTGCATAAGGCAAATCCTTGGAACATCTCAATGAGATGAACAACAAATGGAAAATCTCAATGAGATGCTGTCCTCCTTCCACAGAGTCAGTGATAGAATGATTCTCTTTACCTTTCCCATATTGTGAACCACTTTTCCGTGCCAGGACCCTCAAACTCTGGGGTTGAGCCAGGGTCCTCTTCCCACTTAACAATATGGGAAGGGCAGGGTAGTCTTGACCCTAACACTGCCTGTGCCTCCCCCAGGTTCAGAACCCTTGATTCCAGTGACATTCCATCTCCCTCTGATCATGGATGGGGGATCCCTTTAAGGCCTCTGTGGGTTTTTTTAAACCAGCTCTTTTTAAGTGGATACAGTGGTAACGATGCCCAATTTCTCCTTTTATGTTAATCCAGATTTCTGATAGTTCTGGGGTGTTTGATCTTAGCTGTCCTAACAACTTTCAAGGAATATGAAACTGTTTCAGGAGACTGGCTGCTGCTGTTGGTAAGTAGACTGGGACTGCAATGTCATGCTGTTAACGTTCTTGGATTAAATTCAGCAGTGATGAAAACTCATTACCACTGGTGACCATACACTCTTCAGGGTCCCAGACTCACTACAGGGCAGGCTCATGTACACTGCAAGAAGTCCATAGTATTTACTGAGGCACTTCCCCACATCCCTCCTAGGCTGGGGTTCTGGAATAGGCGTGGTAGGTCACTTAGGTCTCTCTCAAGCTGCCCAGTCTGGGCCAATAGTCCATTTATAATCAGGCAAAGAAAAGTAATCCCAAAACAAACTCAGTAGTCCTGAGCAAGGCCTACTTCCCACAGCAGGCTCTGGTAGGCTGTGGCCTTTGCAGGGGCCCTGGGCTGTTCCTTTTCCTCAAGGAGCAAAGAATAGGAGGTCTGTTCTCCTCCCGACCAACCAGCACATGAGCTCTCCTCCTCCCCTTTTAAGTGGCCCTTCATTACCTGACAGCAAGTGCAGGTGTGGCTAGGCAAGGCTGAGTGGGCCCACAGCAGCTCATTAACCCTTGAGGGCTCAATGGGGGGGGTTGGTATACCCCATCACACTATGTGATTTAGTAGCCTGTGTGCAAAAAGCTGATGGTCTTCAAGCAGTGACTGTGTTTTTGTGTACCGCTGAATGCCTGAGGTATTGTCAGCACTTGATAGATTATAACAACCCGGGACTAGGAGGAAATAATGGATGGGGAAAACTTTTTAGATCCTATAATTTTAGGATGGGATTTTCAATAACACCCAATCAATGTTGGCCTAATTCTGCTCCCACTGAGGTAATTGGTAAAACTCCCATTGACTTTAGTGGAAGCAGAGTTAGGCCTAAGCTAAGCACTTTTGAAAATCTAACCCTACGGGTATGTCTAAACGTTAGCTTCCCAGCCCGGGTGGATAGACTTGCACTAGCGGGGCTTGAGTTGTACACTAGAAACAGCAGTGTGACAGCTCAGGTTCTCAAGCCCACCCCACCCTCTGGGTTTGAACTCGGGTGGCTAGAACAAGTGTCCACCAGTGCCACAACACCCACACTGCTAGTGTGAAACTCTACCCGGGCTGGGAGACTCGGTCCAGCTGCAATGCAGACATAAACCTTCTGGTCTCTGCACGATTTTTACTTCATTCTGCAATGTTCTGCTGATTTCAAGCTCTCATTAAAGGGATGCCATCAACTTCAAAATCACACATCTGTCTGAAGAGATTGTACCTGGTAACGCTGCAAGCAATGGTTAAGATGACTAGCCTTCAAAGATTTGGAGAAAATAAATCCTTTTCTCTGGGTTTTTTTCAGCTTGTTTTATGCAGGCGAGAGCCCTGAGCATATGCTGTAATCAGTCAGTTAGTCAGTTTCCCCTGTTGTTTGTTTGGGTCTTTCATGGTGTGTCTTTGCTGTAATTAGACACCCACAGCTGGCTCCTGCTAGCTGACTTGTGCTTGCAGGACTTGGGCTAAGAGGCTGTTTAATTGTGGTGTAGACATTTGGGATACATCTGCAATCTGAGCTCTGGGAACCTCCCACCTTGCAGGGTCCTAGAGACCAGACTGCTGCCCGAACCCGAACATCTTCACCGCACTTAAACGGCCTCTTAGCCCAAGCCCCATGAGCCTGGGCCAGCTGCGGGCTTTTGATTGCAGTGTACACACACCCTCACACAGCAGAAAGGGAGAAAACAAATATGATGCACAAAAATTTGCTAGTAGCTTTAGCACAAGTGCAGTAAATGAAACTACATTGAAATAATTTTGTAAGACTGATTAGACTTCGAGTTGATGGTGTCACTTTAACAAAAAGTACCTATAGTCAAAGTCCAGCCTCCACAGGGTAATCAGAGGGCTGCTGTGTTAGCCCAGCCTTGCATAAAACTGTCTCCCAGCAAACCATAGTAGCAGCAGTATGCTGGGAATTCCCCATCTGCCTCTCTGTTCATCCCAGTGACATACATGTGAATTCTGACCTGAATTAAACGTGAATGTTATAAGAGATGATCATTTTTGCTCCTTTACGATTTAGAAAGAGGGCTGGAGAAGTTTTACCACCCCTCCTAGCTCCCCACAGTGTAGAGCACAGAAATGGGCCGATTGGGTGAGGTGGAGTGTGATGTGCTTTGGCCATCCTGCCCACCCTTGGGTGACCATTAGCCATTGGTGCAAGTTAGAGCAGCCCCCAAGTTCAGCTGCAGAGGTGGTGTAAAGCCGCCTTATGGGCTGGAGCATCTGAGGATTCAGCCCTTTGTTATGACACAAATAATGCAACGACACTATGTCCAGAGACTCAATGCCAGTTATTTCAGACAGTAATGGCAAAATTTTACATGCTTCATTATGACCAGTAAAGAGATTTGATTTAAAAATTAATTTACCAGTGACTTACGGGCATGATCTGCAACAACTCCAAGAGATTAGGAGGAGCTCATATTTGACTATTCATCTCAGAGATGGGTCTAAACCAAAACTCTGCTCCCAATTCACCCAAACACTGGTAAATATGAATCTCATTCCAGATTCCAATTTCCCAGCTCAGGTCTATCTGTATACATTTCAAAAAGCACAGATTATTTGTACATATACTATAGGGACATCCAGGGTCAGATTTTCAAAAGGGCTCAGCTCCCATCTAGGGACCTAAATGAAGTGGACACATTATCAGAAGTGCTCAGCACCCAGTTACTCCCTTTGAAAACAATGGAGAATTTCCCCTCTTTCATCACTGAGGATAATGGGAGATGCCGTGTGCTGAGCTTTTTTGAAAATCTGGCTATATATATATATAAAATCATAGACACGTGCACACACTGTTTGATCCAGCAAGCAATGCATGTCCAGAATTCCTGCAAGCCTTGTTATGTGTCTAAGAATATAATTTGTGTTTTTGATACAGGAAACATTTGCTATTTTCATCTTTGGAGCAGAGTTTGCCTTAAGAATCTGGGCTGCTGGGTGTTGCTGTCGCTATAAAGGATGGAGGGGGAGGCTCAAATTTGCCAGGAAGCCTTTGTGTATGTTGGGTAAGCACAAAATCTTTGATTGTTCTCCATATGTCTATCCTTTTCTGTTCTGAGTCAGATGTGATTGATGTCTAAAACCCCATGAATGACAAGTACAAAGGCCCAGGATGCTAAGAGTTCTGCCCAGTTTAGAAAGAATTATAAAGTACCTGAAAACCTGGATTCACTTGAGAACAGTGTTCATGGTTTGACAGAGAGTTGGAATTGGATACTTACTGCAGAATCTGCTCAGGTGTTCTGCAGGATCTCAACAACTTTAATTCATACACTGTTATAGTTTGAAAAATCACTGTAAAATGGCGCATCTTTACTGAACGTATCTGTTCCCTTTGTACCTTTGAGTTGTGTCCGCTTACTTTACCGACACAAACAAGCTTTTACTGCAGTGTGGTCTAATGAGCACTGAAGTAGGAATCACGAAATCTATGCCCAACTCTGTTATATGATCTTGGGCCAGTCACTTCTCTCTCTGTGTCTCTGTTTCCTCCACCCTGCCTTGTTGGTCTTGGCTGTTTAGAAATATAAGCTCTGCAGGGCGGGGGCTGGGACTCATATTTTTGTGCAACACTTTGCACAATAGGGTCTCAGTAGTGGCCTTCAGGTGCTATTGTAATACAAATCAATAATAATACTCGTATTACTATTTAAGGGCCAGTATAGCTTTGGGTATGCAAGCTGGGGTTTGTTCTGTTTCATGTATAATCATTAAAATTGTCATCTAAATTCTAAGCACAGACTCTTTATTGATGGCAATGTAAGGAGTGAGAAGAGCTCAGTTGCATATTTAAAATTCTGGATTAGAAAAATCATCTCTTGATTTGTAAATGACACCAACTCGTTATGGAATTATTCGGAGAGAATGAGTAAGAAACTGACATGGTGTCATTTCAGACACTTTGATTCTAAATACACTTGAAAGATGCAGTGGCTAAGAGCCCTGAGAATGTTTCTGACATAATTGCTACCTATTTCCACTGGGATAATTATGGTCTCATAAAGGTCCATAAATTATAAAAAAGCAATCTGCATTTCAGACCTCTTTAATTGATCAATAAATTGGTCCTGTCTCACTCACAAAAATAAAGCACTGGCCTTAAGAGGTTAACCTGGACAGCCAAGCAAATTGCCAAAAACTAGGGGGCACCAGTAGAAAGAGGGGCTTCTTGTTCTCTAACCACTATGTTTTGGTATTCCTGCTTTCACTATTTTCCACTTACAGAATATTTATCCTCTGGTTTGTTTGTCCTTCTGATTCATTAACCTGTATTTTTCAAGACTGATTCTCATGTTATTTTCTGCCCCTTTCTCTAAACCAACTCAGAATGTGTCCCATATCAAATATGAGCTGTGTAGATTATCTGGGTCCCAGATTGGTTCTGCCAGTGCCACAAGCTGTGTTTGACTCACAGGTGCCTGTTTAATTGGCTAAGGACAGCGTTCATAAGTGGGTTTCAGATCTTTGCTGCGGATTTTACAGCACAAACAAATGGAATGAAGCAGCAGATGATGGTGTGACACTGCACCCTATATTCATCCTAGTGGTATGATTATGATACGATTATGACATAATTATGATGCATTTTATACAAGATATGTCATGTGAGGTGTCATTGGAAAAGTTACAATTTGCTGAATGTGATTATTGTAGTGGTAGGCATGTATCGTTTTTGTATCTGGAGTTATGAATATTGACTATGTCTCTGTATCTCAAATGTGGTTACACTTGGGTGACACCCACTAAGCAACATGATCCCAGTCTAGAGCGCTGATTGTGAGGGGCCTATTCAAGGTAATGAGGATATTAAGGGAAACTATTGGCCTTGGGAGAAGCTTAGCCCCCACCTGGTGAGCCTTCCTGAGACCGCTTCAGACAGCCTCTGGATAATGGCTGCGAAGACTCAGCAAGGCGTGCAAGGGCATGTGACCAGACCACATGACACAACTCCATTTTGGTACCTTCATTTTTCCACAAACTGGGCTAGGACCTTAGCTTGGAGCAAAGGGTTCCCACCATATGGAGAAACTATAAAAGGTGGGGAGTGACATCATGATTTGTCTTCATTCCCCCACAACTCAACCCCTGGAAGAACCTCTGACAGACAAAGACTTGGAATGGGGGAGGGAACCAAGGCTGCACAGCAAATGCAGCCTGTACCTCAAGAATCTGAAAACCTGCTTCTGTCATCAGTCAGGGTGAGATATTGTTGATTGCAATCCTGTCTAGTATATTGGGCTTAGTTGGCATTTTTGTTTAATTTCCTAGGTAACCTGCTTTGATCTGTTTATCACTTATAATCATTTAAAATCTATCTTTCTGTAGTTAATAGGCTTGTTTTATGTTTTATCTTAACCAATATGTTTTAAGTGAAGTGGTTGGGAAAATCTCAGCTCAGCTAGCAAAGGCTTGGTGCATATCTTTCCCATATCAAGGGGGAAGCAAACTATGTTAATGAGCTTGTGTTGTACAGATCCCTGTGCAGTGCAAGATGGTATAATTTTGGGTTTATACTCCAGCAGGGGTGCAAGGCTGGGGAGTGGGGAAATCGGCTGGTGCTCCATTGTTGATCTACCAGTGGCTTAGGTAAAGCACTCAGGTAATTCAGTTGGGTGTGTGGCACCATCTGCTATCGTGTTGGGTGATAACAGTCCCTGGAGAGGCTGGCTGTGTATCATCAGCAGAGCAGTGTGAGAAAGACCAACCCAGCTGAATTATTAGGGGGCACAGTGGTTCCAACAGCTCCCAGACTGCACCCCGGGGGTACAACCCATCACAGATGAGTCCACTTTTTGATCAGGCTTTGTTCTCCTTTATGCTGTGCAGATATCTTCGTGTTGATTGCCTCTGTGCCAGTGGTAGCTGTTGGGAACCAGGGCAATGTTCTGGCGACGTCGCTCAGAAGTCTGCGCTTCCTTCAGATCCTGCGGATGCTCCGAATGGACAGGAGGGGAGGCACGTGGAAGCTTTTGGGATCAGCTATTTGTGCACATAGCAAAGTAAGTGAGGAGTTCACAGAATTAATCTGAGTTATGGGGAAAAAGCCAAAAGCAGAGGCAGATCAGACACTTGAGGAGAGTATTGCCTAGTGTTTAGAGCAGCAGAGTGGTAGTCAAGACCCTTGAGTACTATTCCCAGTTCTTCCGCAGATAAGCTCTGTAACCCTAGCCAACTCTCTTACCCCCTTGTGGTCCTGTGAGATTAAATTAATCCGGGCTTGATACTGCACTGTTGAAGCCAATGGACATTTTGGGCTTGACTTCAAAAGGAGTTGGATCGTGCCCTTATTCATAAAGCATGTCAAGCTCTTTGGAAGAAAGCCCTATATAATAGTGACGTGTTAACACAGGCTTCTCTCTAGCTGGCGTCCATTAAGACTTGGATCTAATTTCCACTCAGTGCATCAGATTAAACTTCATTGAGGGGCAGCTGTATCCGTCTGTAGGGGGCGGGGGATTCCATTGTTACCATTTGGGAAGAAATTTAAATTCACCAAATGGCCAAGCTGACTTACCCATCACTGGAGTCCTGGTCCAGGAGCTGATTTCTGATACTTGATGGAATTGACAGCTGCATGTCAGTAATCACTGTCCCTTCCAAAGGCTTGTGTCCGAAAGGCATCATCTGTCCCTTCGCGTATTGTCCCTTGAGAAATATTGTAAAATGCAGCGCCTGGGTTCATCTATCCCCCTATGCCACTTATGTGAAATGAGTCAGAGAAGTTTGGTGTGGGAGGGTGGTGGGAAAAGACTTATTCCAAAATCACAGCAGCAGTTCAATGCATAATGGTTTGATGCTGGTTAGCAGAAGTCAAGTAAGTTTCCGTGGGAGTGGTAAATTTATTTTCACCCATAACGATGGGTCAGATAGTACAGTGATGGGTGCTAATATATTCTCCAGCTGCCTCTGGGTGTGTTCAGTTACAGGGTCAGACCCATTTTGGTCCATATCAGGTAGTTATGCTGCCCTTGCACCATTATTATATAGGATTAGATGATAAAGGGTTACCTGAGTGAAGAGCTCTAAGATGGGGGTCTGTGTGTTGGCCTGTGAGTTACCAAAGTTATGTATAACTTTGATTGGAAGGTCTCATCTCTACATGACATTCTCAGAAGGAAATGTTTTAGAAGGTCCCTTTATTGCCATGGAAAGTGAAAGTGCCAGACCACACACAATAGTGAATCTTTGCTTCTTTCTGATGGCAGACTGGGATGCGTTCTTCTCAACTGGGCTTCATTCCATAGCCACATTTACCTCCATCCTGCACAAATCTGCTGCTAGTCTTGTAGCAAATCATTTATTTCTGCTAGAAATGCTGCCTCAGGAGACTGAGGTTTTAGAAAAAGTCACTTATGCTAAAGACATTGCCACCATGTCTTTTTTATGCTTTGCAGGCTGCTAGTTTTCCAGAGGGCCTCCTCTGGTCTCTTTCTCAGATTGTATCCTTCCACTTGGGCCTTAACAGGCTGAGAAATGTGTAGGGTTGCGAGAGTGTTTGCTAAAATGGGCACTAACGTTTAACAATCAAGTCTAAAAACGCGGTTTATTAGTAATGTCCCTTCAGTGATTGCAAACCACAAATTTGCTACAGAGGTTGATTTACCGTAAGACATTTGTAAAATTCTCAGCTACAGCATCCCCCATGATAGGTGATATGACCCAGGACAGAAAAGGAAAATCATGCCACAGGGACAGCTGTCTGTCAAGTAACCAGCACTCTGTTGGAGCTCTACAAATTAATAATAACCGGAAAGAATATCTTCTTCCCACTTCTGATGAAACATGGTAACCAGGATGCAAGCTCTAATACACAAACTGCATCTGCATGGGAATCAGGGGTTCTCTTCCCACCCCTGTCTCTGTCTGATTCTGTGACCGTGGGCAAGTCAGAAGTAGCTGATGTTCAGAAGTGCTGCACACCTATAGCTCCTGTTGAGTTCTGCCTGTTGGTGCTATTGCAGTGCAAACAAACATAAGTGCCCTAACGTGCTGGGTGCTGTACAGAGATATAGTAAAAGACAGTCCTGGCTCCCCAAAAGCTTATGAATATGCTTGAAAATCAAGCTACCTTCGCCCTCCCCACACATAGATTTAGGTGCCTAAAGCTCTCTGTGTCTTCATTTACACATCTGTAACATTGGTATAATCCCTCCTCGCAGTGGTGTTGCAAAACCAGGGCCAGGTTAAAGCCTAGGCAATGTACATCCATGTTTAGGGCTCCCCCTCAGCTCGTTGGATTCCATCAGAATCTCAATTTTCTCATTTAAATCCATAGTAGGCTTCTAGCCTGATGGTTGTGAAGAAAAGCTGAGAACTGTGACCCAAGTGTAACTGATGCAGTGATGGCTGCGTAAAGCCTGAAACAATAGCTTTGAGTGGTTAAACTGTCCCAGGCATCTCAATGGCTTGTTATCTCCCAAATCCATTGCTGTGGGCCTTGCCAACACCACCCCAGCAGCAAATTCTGTGTGTTGTGGCAGGAGCAATGGAGTGCAGCAGGCCCAGTCCCTCCACCTAAGCAGTGTCACCCTGACTGCTGGGGTAAGTGTTGGAAGGCTCCCCAACTGCCACACTGCCTCTCTGGGGTCACGAAGAGGGGATGTATGTGACGCTCCTGTGAGGGGAAGGGGGCCCCGTGGGACTTCCCCAACTTCGGTGGAAGGGAAGTGAGGGGACCATTGTCAATGACGGCCAAGGTCGTGGTGCCAGGCCCCGTGCTATGATGTGTCTTGGGCCTTAATCCAGCCGTGAGCCAAACTACAGCTACAAATTGCTTTGTAGCAAGGTGCTGTGTAAGTACTAAGTATTGCCACAGCTCTGCAGTGTGGAACAGCCAGAGATGCACTATGCTGGACCCGGACTGCAATCCAGACAGAAATGACAGTCCTTGCTGTTTTATCCTGTGTATCTCTCGTCTTTTGTCACTAGACGTCTGGCGCTGCCATTGCAGAAGCTGGTGCTGTTTTCAGTCTCCTCATTTTCAATCTGTTTCTTTTCCAGGAGCTCATCACCGCTTGGTACATTGGGTTCCTGACCCTTATCCTCTCCTCGTTCCTTGTTTACCTGGTCGAGAAAGATGTGCCTGAAAAGGATGCCTATGGAGTCGAGATGAAAGAAGAGTTTGAAACCTATGCAGACGCACTGTGGTGGGGGCTGGTAAGCAGCTGTAGAAACTGTCTCTCATTTGTTAGTTTAATGGAAATAAAGCTGCCTGGTTGAATTAGGGTGTGAGGGGAATGGAAGGGATTGGGGTAATATATTCAAACACACCTAAATCCCATTCTCAAAAGTGATTTGGGTACTTAAGAGCCTGAAGTCTGACTGAAAGTCAATAGGATGTAAGCTCCTACGTGCGAAGAAAGTCCTATTTACTTTCAATCACAGTTAGGCTCCTACATACCTAAATCACTTTTGAAATGGAGACTTAGGTGCCTAAGTCACCGAAGTGCTTTCGAAACTTTAACTCTGGAACTTTGTTAGCTGGAGTCTAAGGGCCAGATTTTCAAAAGCCTTCAGCACCCAACAGCTCCTATTTATGCACCTACATGAACTGGCCAGATTTTCAAAACTCAGAACAGTGGGAGCTGGTCCTGTGCTTAGCCCTCTTTGAAAAGCTGGCCATTTAGGTGCCCAGCGAGAAGCAGAGGTTTTCTGGCAATCTGTCTCTAACTGTGGGTACTGAGCTCTCTTGGAAATTTGGCCCAGAATGTCTGGTGAAGAAATCCCTAGGGGATAGATTTTCAAAGGCTTAAGTGGGAGTCGGGCGCCCAACTGCCATTGACTTTCCCTGGAATTGTGCTTCTGCAAGTCTCCTCCTGAGATGCTAGTCTGAACCCTAGAGAATCATCGTATATGAAGAGTCAGGCCCCCAAGTGCTGTCCGAGTTTGGATTAAATTGATGCTGGGTGGGAGGGGTATTCCAAATGAGGGGGCAACTGCAAGGTCATGGTTCAGTCTGAACCTTAAATAATCATGGTACAAGACCTGAACCATGGCCTTACCCCTTTGTTTAGAATGCCCTCCCAAATCCCTGCCACAGAAATTCACTATCAATTTAATCCAAACTCGCACAGTACTTGGGGGACTGAATCTTCTCTCAGTTACATCAGTGTCAATAAGTAGCGACCGTGCTGGAGTCAGAGGGTTCACACTGGTGTCAATGAGAGGAAAATCCGAGCACTTGTGTGTATTTCACATCCAGAATTGATTCATTCTTCTCCTAATTGGGATTGAGCTCAAGTTGAGTGTGTTGCCCCCTCCTGATCCCCAATGGTTCTACAGCTTCTTATTCTTCTTTCTGGAGGTAGGTGACCCACTTTAGGACTAGTGGGTACTGAGTTCTGTGTGTGCAGTGCCTCCAACAAGTAACTACATTCAGAACAAGAGAAAGACCAAGGAAAGTGTAGATCCTCTATTTAGTGGGGAAGGAGAACTAATAACTGACAACATCAAAGTGTTTAACCTCTATTTTGCTTCAGTCTTCTTGTACTCTACACAATAAATATTAACAAGGTGGACGAAACACAAGCCAAAATAGGGAAAGAACAGGATAAAGACTAGTTAGAAAAGTTAGATGTATTCAAGTCTGCAGAGCCTGATGAAATTCATCCTAAGGTACTTAAGGAACTAGCTCAAACAATCCGGGAACCATTAGGAGTTATTTTTGAGAACTCATGGAGGACAGGACTCCAGAAGACTAGAGAAGTGCAAACATAGTACGTGTCTTTAAAAAGGGGAACAAAGAGGCCCTGGGGAATTATTGAACAGTCAGCCAAAATTCAGTACCTTGAAAGATACTGAAACAAATTATTAAACAATCAATTTGTAAGCACTTAGAGGACAATAGTGTTATATGGAATAGCCAGCTAGGATTTGTCAAGAACAAATGATGCCATACCAATCTAATTTCCTTCTTTGACAGGCGATAAGGGGAAAGCTGTAGATGTAATTTATCTTGATTTTAGTCAGGCTTTTGACACAATCCCACATAACATTCTCATAAACAAATTAGGCAAATTTGGTCTAGATGAAATTACTATAAGGTGGGTACATAACTGGTTGAAAGACTATACTCAAAGATTAGGTATCAATTGGTTTGCTGTCAAACCTGGGGGATGTATCTGCTGAGGTCTCGCAAGGGTCTGTCCTGGGTCCAGTACTATTCAATGTTTTCATTAATGGCTTCAATAATGGAGCAGAGAGTATGGTTATAAAATTAACAGATGACACCAAGCTGGAGGGGTTGCAAGCATTTTGGAGGACAGGATTAAAATTCAAAACAACCTTGACAAATTGGAGAATTGGTCTGAATTCATCAAGATGAAATTCAGTAAAAATAAGTGCAAAGTACTTCACTTCAAAAGGAAAAATCAAATGCACAATTACAAAATGGGGAATAACTGTCTTGGCAGTAGTACTGAGGAAAAGGAACAGAGGGTTATAGCGGATCACAAATTGAATACGAGTTAACAACATGATGTAGTTGCAAAAAAAGGCTAATATCATTCTGGGGTGTACTAACAAGAGTGTCATATGTAAGACATGGGAGATAATTGTCCTGCTCAATTTGGCACTGGTGAGGCCTCAGCTGGAGAACTGTGTCCAATTTTGGGCACCACACTTTGGAAAAGATGTGGACAAAATCTTTAGTCTTGAGAATAGGAGACTGAGGGAAGACCTGATAACACTCTTCAAATATATTAAGGGCTATTGTAAAGAGGACTGTGATCAATTGATCTCCAAGAAATAATGTGTTTAATCTGCAACAAGGGAGATTTAGGTTAGATATTAGGAAGAATTTTCTAACTATAAGGGTAATTAAACTCTGGAATAGGCTTCCAAGGGAGGTTGTGGAATCCCCGTCATTGGAGAACAGGTTGGACAAACACCTGTCAGGAATGATCTAGGTTTACTTGGTCCTGCCTCAGTCTTGATGCCCTCTTGAGGTCCCTTCCAGCCCTACATTTCTATGATTCTGTGACTGGGTGAACAAACAAATAGCAATCCTTATGACCTCAAAGATATTACAATTGATAACAACAGGGAATTAAGGACCAACTGATAAGAATAAACAATACTGTATTCCCGGAGAGGACTATGGTGAATTAAAAGAAGGGCAAGGGAATCAAGTAAATGAGACCTGGACCAACACCACAACAACACACACTAAAAGCCCACAAATTAAGTCATTACAGTACAATAAGAAAGTCTCCCCATGCAGCTTATATGGGTATGGGAGCTGTATCTCCATGCAAAGGGCTAAAATCCTTGCTGGGAGGCACACAGCTCTTCTTTTTGGCTGGAGTGAGTCCCTGTGAGCTTCAAGGCTCCCGGTGTAAACGAGGCCTCTCAGATGCTGCTGGCAGTCAGTCCTCTCTGGTGAAAAGAACAAAACGGGTGTCTGGTAGAATTATTCATATAGCTGATTTTGTAGTTTGCTGGCACTTCTGATATTTTAAGGTGTTTTTTAATGATTTTTTTTCAAAATTTTAATTGAATCAAAAAGTCTAAAAAACACAATTTACTTCACATTGAACAAAATGTGGTGTTTGACACGAAACAAAATGTTTCTTTTAGATTTAAGCTTTTTTAAAAAAAGGTTGTTGATTTTTTTTTAATAAAATGGAAGGAAATTTCAAAATGGAACATGTTGAATTGAAAACAAAAAATGTTTCTTTTCAAAAATGTTGAAATTAAACATTTCTCAGAGAACTATTTGTATTTAATAGAAGGAGTGTGAGGAGAGGCCAGATTGGCTTATGGTGAAGGCCCTGAATCGGAACTCAGCGGTCTCTATTCCTAGCTTTGCTACAGACTTCCTGCCTGACCTTGGGCAGGTTACTTAATCGGTGTGCCATCTCAATTCTCCATTTGCAAAATGGATATAATATATCACCTCTGTTTAGAGGTATTGGAGGATAAATTCATTAACACGTATGAGACATGCAAGTATTATGACAATGAGTGCCATAAAAAAACTATATCTATGGCTTACATTTTCCAGATTGCTTGCAAAATCCACGCTTAGGAAAGTTTGTGTTTTGTGTATTTTTCTACAATGTCCAGAGGTCAAAGCAAAAGTTTATAACCTGGTCATGCAGGTTTGAGGGTCAAGCTTAAAAGAAATCCTCCTTGTCCATTTGCATTGTCTGTCTTATAAAATGGCCAACCTATTCTCCCCACAGATTACCCTAGCAACAATCGGCTACGGTGACAAGACCCCCAAAACCTGGGAGGGGAGGCTGATAGCAGCCACATTCTCTCTTATCGGAGTGTCATTTTTTGCTCTTCCTGCCGTAAGTACTGTCCTTCTGTTTGTTTTTACAAAACACAGAGTTAATGATGTAGAAAGTAAAGGAATAGCCTCCCTTCTATGCAGATTCCACCAGAAATTCAACTGGGAGCCTGCAGTTCAATGACTCTCAAGCTGGAATCTTGAGCACATTCATGCATAGTGTGGGGAAAGCAAGCTCTTTTCTCCTTGTGGCTAAGATAAAATGGAGCCTAGTCTGAATTATCCTGTGTGCTGTGCAGAACTTTAGAGCTAAGCCTATAAACAGGAGAATTATTCAGATTTTGTTACAAACATGAGACTTGGACCAAATTTGCAAAAAGGGTGAAGGTAAAATTTTTAAGAAGTGACTTAAGCCCTTAACCTCATTGAAAAGCAATATGGCTTGAATTTCAATGCAGCTTAGGTGCCTAAATACCTTTAAAAATCTGGACTTAGATTCCTAAGTTGCTTTTGAAAATGGCACTTGATCACCAAAGCCCCAAAGATCACCAAGTTATTTTTGAAAAGTTTACCCTTGATCAGAAAGCTGCTCATGTGAGGTTGGTCCAAGATTTGGGTGACCTGGGCCCAACCTGTGGTTTCAAGTGGAAACGATGCAAAACTTGGAGCTTGAGATTGGTTTCCTTTAGCTCAAAACTTAAAAAGAAATTCATGGGGGATGGGAGCCCAGGTGATCCAGTATCCAGAATATGGTTCATATGCACCCCCTTTAGATCACAACCACAGAGTTTAAGCTCAGTTCTGACTGAAACAGTGAAGGAGGAAAACAGACCAGCTGCACATCTTGTCATTGGGAAGGCAGTAGAAGACCAAGAAGCTTTTTGAGGAGCTTGTAATGAAACCATGTGAAGCGCGGGCCTAGGTGAAGGCAAGGTTTGTCAGAAAACTATGATGCCCTGTGAACTAGAACTGCCGGAAAAGCGCACTGAACCCCATGTGAATTGCCCCCATTAATTCCCCACAGCTCTGATTATCTCATCCACAGGTTTTAAGAGAACTTTCTCCTCAGAATTTCTGTTGTTCTTGTGTTTTCAATCAAACAACGCCTGACAGCCATTACCACCTCTGCTTTTAGGGCATCTTGGGTTCAGGGCTGGCTCTGAAAGTCCAGGAACAACATCGTCAGAAACATTTTGAGAAAAGAAGAAAGCCGGCAGCAGAACTTATACAGGTTTGGATTCTCTACGTTTCCATCTTGAAATGATACTGTATAAATAAAAATTGGATACAATTAACTTAGGCTTGAATAGAGACTGGGAGTGGTTAAGCCATTATGCAAGGTAACCTATTTCCCCTTGTTTTTTCCTAGCCGCCCCCCCACCCCCCCTCCACTGTTCCTCAGATGTTCATGTTAAACCCTGGATTTGTGCTGGAAATGGCCCACCTTGATTATCATACACATTGTAAGGAGAGTGATCACTTTAGATAAGCTATTACCAGCAGGAGAGTGGGGTGGGGGAGAGAAAACCTTTTGAAGTGATAAACACCCATTTTTTCATGGTCTGTGTGTATAAAACATCCTCACTGCATTTTCCACTTTATGCATCCGATGAAGTGAGCTGTAGCTCACAAAAGCTTATGCTCAAACAAATTGGTTAGTCTCTAAGGTGCCACAAGTACTCCTTTTCTTTTTGCGAATACAGACTAACATGGCTGCTACTCTGAAACCTGTATAAATAAGGGCACTATGTAATGGAGTAAGGGATTCTCCCTTGAAGTTCTTATTTCCCTGTGCCCTACATGGGAAGTTGTGTTCTGTAATGCAGATATATACTTTGAGGTCAGACAAGATGATCAAATGGTCCCTTCTGGCTGTAAAATCTATGAGTTCACAAAACACCTGTTCCTTTTAGAGCAAAAGTGGCTTTGCTACAAATTCACATGTTCAAAGTGAAATTAGTCGTTCTGCTGAAATTTTCTAGGCAGCCTCCCCTCCAACATCCATTTCAGTGGCACAGAGTCACCTGAAACCAGATGGCAAAACCTTTGGCACTATGCGCTGCGTGTGTGTGTGGGCGGGGAAGAGGAGGAATCAGCTGTTTTGCAAGGCCCCAGTTTCCACTGTTTCCCTTGGGAGACTGTCCCACATACAGAGATGCCACAGGCTTTTTGTTGCTGTAAAAACTCATAAATGTACAGAATATTGGTCAGTAGTGACTACTGGGTTACAACTTAACACAGAAGTCCATTTACTTTAATGCAAAGACTGCCATTGGCTCCACTGGATTTGGATCAGAGCCTTAGATTTTATTTTGTAAAATTAAATGTAAAATTGGTAGCTTGAAGGTTGATCTGTTTGACAAAAATCCAATATGCACTGTAGGCCATGACCTGAATCAAATGACATCAATGGCAAAACTTTTACAGTGGGACCAAGATTACTTTCTTTGAAATCAATGGGAGCGGCGGGTATTTATGACCTCTCAGGGTCAGACCCATTCTTTGGAGAAATAGGTTGAACAGCATACTTTTGCAGTAAAAATGTTTCCTAGCAAAGCACAGGATACCGTGGAGAAGTCTGGAGAGGTTGATTCACTGACATTAAAGAATCACTGCATAACAGGCAGCCAGGGTAACCACAGTACTGCTGTTTATGTGCTAGTGGAAGTTTGATAGGAGTTATGTGCTAATGTTTAAAATCACTCAGCAAAACTTTCCACAGCAGTAAATTAACCTGATTGCTGCCCCCTAACCATGGCTCTTTCTGATTCCCAGAAACATCAGACAGATCACATGTTCTACATTTTACTAAGCTAGATGCTCTTTTAGATTTATCAGACTTTAGAATAAAGCAAGATTAGTAAAATGTAACCTCTTCCAGGTATCTGAAAGCAATGGGCAGTGCACAGTATTCTGTCACATATGCCCCTGGGAACAGTTTTTGAGGACTACTGTCCGAGAGCATCGTTTTCTTATTATAAGCCTTACATGAACTATGGCACCATCTAATGGAAACTTTCAATATTGCTGTATAATAATTCAGTGCGACTCACTGAATATGTCCATTGTTATCTTCTTTTGAACTAAGAGGCGTATTAACTGGCTGCATTCACTTATAAGCACAGATAAACATTTCCCCTAATGCTATTACTGTCCCTTTATATTGTTATCCAGGCTGCCTGGAGGTACTATGCTACTAACCCAAACCGGATGGATCTCGTCGCCACCTGGAGGTTTTATGAATCAATTGTATCGTTTCCGTATTTCAGGCAAGTGTGCTGCCCCCTTTGATCAGTAACACCCTATACAGCAGAACTCAGATAGGACATGGGATGTGGAATTTATGTGGATAAACAAGGTTTTGGATAATTGGGCTTTCTCAGTGTTACTGCTGCAAATCAGGGGAACATCACCACTTTCAGTTTAGAGGGAGGTTTCAGGCATAAGGGGTTCTGTTGCATACACCAATATATCTTTCTGATCAGTTTCTGTTTTGATATTTTATTGTTCACCACATTCCTTTACTATTGTTTAGTGAAAATCCATTTAGTGTGTGTGGACTTTTCTATATTGGGGATGATAATTCAGTTCATTAGAGGCAGGGAAACTAATTGTGAAATCTTGGAGTTTTTGAAAAGTGGGGACTATGTGTTGGAAAAACATTTATATGTTGCTTCTCTTTGTGTTTTGATTTACAGACCATTCTCCTAGACTTCCTTAAGGACTGGGCTCTGCAGCCCTCATAACTTAGTTTAAATACTTCTCATAGGGTTGCGCAAATGGAGGAGGATTTTAAATAATTAGAATAAAAACCATCACAAAAACCCATTCCTTATGAATTGAAATGTAAAGTATGGCCTTAGATATGGAGTTAATACATGGTTATATGAAAAGCAAGTGTAAAAATGACAACTTACAAAATACATTCCGCATATCACTATAGAGCAATACAATAACACATGTTAGCTGATTTAATATTCTGGCCAGTGGGGAACAGTGGTGTGTGCATGTGCGTATACAGGCATGCACACACATACACATTCATATAATACACACAAATACAAATACCCACACGCACACACTCAGGATAATCTGCTTCCTGTCTCTCGATGGAATTGACAAAAGTATTTTTTCTCATTAACTTTGCAGAGCGAATACAGCTATGGGAATGTGAGTTGGATTCTGTTGTACTTCAGTTATCATTTACAAAATTAGAAGCTGTGCTCTGATTTCTACATATTTTTTTTGAATGATGGAGTAAGAGGAGGGAAGAACTCAACTTGTTTTTCAGATTCAGGTTCTGTTTGACAAGTTGGTAGTCTCAAAACTATTTCTGGGTGTAAACTGAGCACGCTTGATCCTAAAATCATGTAGAGAAAATAAATATGGAACCCTCCAAATGCCATTTTAGCTTAAATGACTTTTCTGATTCTATATTGTATTTTAGTTCACCAGAAAATGTTTCCTCTTCACAAGAAAAAAAACCCCTAAATCTATTCAAGAGATGCTATTTATAGGCTCCACTCAAGCGTGGGAGAACCCCCCTAGATTCCAATAAATTCAGGAGGAAGATCCCAGTGGAAAGAAAAGGATGTACCTGATTTTTAACACTTCACAGAAATAAACTGAGCAAAGAGATGACCACTTTTCTTTAAAATAATCTTAATATATAATAATTAAAAATAATAAAGCTCAAAGCAATAGAAAGAACGGAATTCTGTTTAAAATCTTATGCTTTGCCCATCGCAGCGGTATCTGAATTCCTTGACTTGAGATGAACAAAAGACAGTGGGAGACTTATGGTAGGAAATATTACAAAACATCTGCAGAAGGCTGTGTCATTTATCCGTTGCTTCAAGGCATTGCATGAATCTTAGAAATTGTCCCAATTAGGCAGGCATGTCGCTTTTCAGATGTCAGTTAAGTGAACTCTGCTGTGCAAGGCTTTTTTTTTGTGGTATTATACATTTCTCTGCTACTCTCTTCTGCAGATGTCATGGGTAAGTAGCAGGGTGGATTTGATTTAAATCAAATTGATTTAAATCATGATTTATATCACTAGTCAGGAAGACTCAATTTAATCATGGATTTCTACATAAAAGTGCATTCTTGGTTGTTATAACCTTAATACATATTCTTCACAACTCAGAGATAGATGTAGGTTTTCAAAATAAATCGCTTGAAGATTAGTTTTACAGCTGTATCAGAAAATGAATGATTGTTTGGTTATTTCATTTACCAAAGATAATTTTAGCAGATACTTATGAAGTCATTGGGAGATGAACTATCTCCAATTCAACAGGTTAATCATTAATATTTGGAGGATTTTCTTGCCATGCTGTATTAGGAGGATAGACATTTAAATTGTTTTATTTAACTAAAACAACATTATGTAGTCTGGATTTTTTTCTTCAACAGCAAACATATAATATTTTAACAAAACAAGCATATGAATGTTTGAATTTAGTTAAACATTCAAGTTTTTTTAAATCAGGTTTGTTTTTGTTAAAATTGTTTTTAACTAATATAGTTCAATGAAATATTTAAAAAAGAAATTAAATCGACTATGTCAGCCAGGTCAACATAAGAAACTTAAAATGATTGGCTTCTGCAGATAACTCAGTTATCTGCATCTTCATTTTCCTGTTTGTTCATAATCTGGAAAAGAAAAACAAGCTTCTTTTCCAGGTCCCAAACAATTTCTCAATTTGGAATGAATTAGACCAAAGGAAGAAAATATTGTTTCTACACCGGAAGAAGAAGCTACTGCTGTTAAAAGTGAGATTTTCACTTAAACAGTCTCTGAATCCAAGTTCTTAAGTGACTTCCACCAGTTCACTGGTGTAACTTTCTTTAAAATATCATCAGCAAACATATATTTCTTGAATGATTCACCCTTAGCTCTGAAGTTTATTATAACTGGCATTATGGAGGGATGATTGCTGGATGTCCATGTCATAGCCAACTCCTCTTCTTCAGCAGTTAAGGTTTGACCCTGATACCGAGTATTGAGAATATTTGCAAGAAAATGAGCTGCAAATAGTGCTTGTCCCATTCATTTTTTTAATGCTTGTAATTTAACTCTGTCATTGCATATTTCTCTTTTTAAAATCTCACTCAGTTCCTTCCAAATTTCAACAGCGTCAGCAATAAACAGCTATTTCCCTGCATCTTCTTCAAGGCTACAGAAATAGGCTTCAGGGTACTCAGCACGTGTTCAACATTTCTCTTAAGCCCAGTGTTGAGAACATTGGCTGTGACAGGGCCATCTATTTTTTCATGATTTGGTTCACAAACTGTCATCAGATTAGGCCAGTTCTTAATCTAGTGCTCAAAACAGTCCACTACCGAGTTCCATCACACGTCTTGTGGGAGAGCTAGCTTGGTTCCTCCCACCTTTTTTCAGAGAAGTTGCTGCCAGTTGGTTGTTACGGAAGTATTTTGCAATTTCAACAACATTAGCCTTTATTTCTGGAACACTGAAGTCTTTGGCTAGGAGGTGCATCAAATGAGCACGGCAACTGTATGTTATTAGCTTGGGACTCTCTTCACTCTCTTCTAAATTTCTTCTCATCTTGGATACATTTGCAGCATTATCTGTGACCAAGCTGCGTACTAGACATTTGAATTTTTTTTCAGGTTGTTATAGCTTTTACTGCTACTTCTTGTAATGTGTGTGCTGTGTGCACATTTCCTGATGTATCAATTGTTTCTGTAAGGAAGACATTCCCTTCTTCTGTTGTCACACAAGCACATACAACAGGATCATTGTGGACATTGCTCTACCCACCAAGACTTAGGTTAACAATTTCACCCTCTCGACCTTTTGCAGACTGCTCAATTTCTCTTTCATACACTTTATCCAGCAATTTTCCTGCGACTTCTGCTCTGTTGGGTGGACTGTATCCTGGTCTTAATGACTGACCCAAGTTAATGAAGTATGGATTCTCAATCATACGGAAAGGAGAGTTTGTTGCATGAACAAACCGGACAATTTTTTCATCAATTACCTCTTTTTGTAATCTGCTGGTTCTTATCACAAATTTATCTATGGTTGTTTCTGGGTGATGGAGATTTTTTTTTCTTTTTGCAACTGTGGCTATGTGACATACATGATGTGACTGAAACACTATCATTGGCAGATAACTCTGAAACTATAGAAAATTATTGTGATCTTGGATAGTGGAGGTGGATAGTCTTCAGAATCCTGCATGTTGAGGATGGATTCTCCTAAACAAAATAAGTCAATGCAGTTATTTAATTAGTATTACCATACTGCTCATTTAGTATTACTCATTGCATTCACTGATACTCAGTACTACTTTAAAGGTGAAATTGTAAAAGGACGATCTGCTTATTTCAGCTATTTATTTTTTTTCAAAACTGCATCTAAAATGATAGTACCATAGAGTAATAGCTATATTTATATAAGATCCTGCACGTTCCTTTCATCATCTTCAATGCAACTTCCTCCTGAGACGGAACGCTTCTCATGATGTTGTTTTATTCAGGCAACCAGGCCTTGCATTTCTTTGTTGCACTGTTTGCATTTTGCACGCATGCCAGTCTTACCCACAGATAGAGGAATTTCATTAAAATATTCCCAAACTGGGTCTCTTTTCAGCTTGCTGCCATTATGTTTTCCCTTCTAGTGAGAGACTGGTATGGTAGATCTCAAATCAATGAAGGCTACACTCAGAAAGACCTCAAGACTTCTGGAATATGCTACTCAAAAAGTTTCACTTTTGTTTCTACTGCCTGTTCCTCCCTGCTCACATTTATCTCCAGCCTTCTTCTCCTTGTCCAGATCTATTCTGCCCCCAACAATCTTCTATTCATTGAACTTTTTGAAACTTTGCACTTTTAGAGAGAGGTAAGGGATTGACTCTGTGTACACAAATTTGCAGAGGGACAATAAGGTTGAGGTCTGCTATTTCTCACCTCTATATATTATTTATTTATTTAAAACCATTTTTACTGTTAACAAGAATGATATCTCTGGAGACACAAATCCACAGTTTGAGAACTGCAAAATTAAGCATCTCTGATGGTATCTTCTAGACTGAGCACTGAGTCCCATTGTGTAGATAGAAAGATTAACCTAAATAATCTATACAGAAGCCCCTGGAAACCTAATTCATGAACTATTGGAACTCATTTACAAAACTTTTCTTAAATATTACATGAATATATTGTCTCATACTATACAATTAGAATTTATAATCCCTATTCCATGATGAGAAATCTTTGAGCTATAATATATCTTAATTAAAACTATCTTTAGATAGGTTTTTTTCCTCAAAAAGCATTTTATCAAAAAAATGCAATTTTAAATTTAAAAAAATCAGATTATTTTTTAAAAAAATCATTGATCTTTATCCACCCTGATAAGTAGGGAGCCTGCTTTTAGAGAGGGCTTTGTGGAATCACACAGCTGGGAGACAAGCTAGGAAAAATCTACCTGATGAAAAGGCCTTTGATCTTTCTTTTCTTTTCTTTCTATTGGCTTGTCTACACAAACAAATAGTTTGTGACCAGCTGGGGTGTGAATCTACCCCACAGAATCTGCAGATTAATTGTCCATGTGGACCCTGTTCATGCACATTAGCAGTCTGTTAGTTAACTTTGATCTAGTCCTCTTTGAAATGGGAGAACGAGCAGAACTTGGCTTTTAACAAAGAGGAAAACTAAGAGTCTATTATGGAGTCAATTTCCTTTTGTAGTATTCTGGATTTCACCCAGCATGACATCTCAGGAGCAGCTTTGTGTGCCTTCATTTTGAATCATGAGGGCACTTGTAACCTGGATTTTACAGGAGACCTTGGGAATAGATGGCCAACATGCACAGAACTGACAGTATTTTTTTATATGTAAGGGTTTTGTTAATGCTGAGGGTTCTTCCCCCTCCCTCTTGAACTGTATTGGCCAGAGTGTTCTGACATCACAATGATGGGCATGGTATCAGAACCCACGTAGAACAGAATAATTAACTGAACTAATGTTGGCCTTTTGTAAGTGGAACTATTTAATTGTCTAATGAATCCAGGGAGGGAAGGGCTAAGTGATTTTTATAATTGTATCCCTTTGCAGCCATTAGTTGAGGATAGGCTACTGTAGTGGAGAGAGTTCATGAGAAACAAGGTTTTTTGGGGAAGTGGGGGATCATCTTTTTTTCTTGTTGATTGTTTTGTTTTCAAATCTGCTCTCTGAGTTTAGGTGCCAAAAACCAGAAACAGCCCAAATTAATGGAAACTTTTGCAGACCTGGGTATGAGCCTTTCTGTTCCTCAGTTTCCTGCCTGTACATGGGGATAATAATCCTTCCTCACATTGAGCTCTATAGGTTAAAAGTATCATATGAATACTAAGTATTACAATTACTCTCTACTATTGATCCCTACTAGTGCAGCATTGTGCCTACAGTGGATACACATAGAGTTTGTTCCAGTTATGGTGTTATCACTGATTCCAGCAACATTCTGTGGACGCAAAATATGACTGGAGCTTGTAATGTCTCTGCAAGAGGACTAAACTTGATGTGCTCACTGTACTTATAGTTAGCAGCAGTTAGCATTCCACAGTATTTCTTTAAATTGGTTTGGGGAAGCATTTGTTTACATCTGAAACCAGTAAGCTGAGAGAGAAAAGAACATGTCACATTTCCATTAGTGAAAGAATAACTCACAATTTGTTTTACTCACAACATCTTTCACCCTGACTGGTCTGGGATATATTATAAAATAAATCTTCCAGGGGGAAAACCCCTTGGAAGTATTTATTTAGGACTCGGTTAATTTTTCTACTCTTCTCATTTGTCTCTCTACTACTTCAGTCTTTAGTTTCACACTGTCCATTGAAAAAATTAAACCATTTCCAAAGAGGTCCTTGAGCTCAGTGTTTGTTCAAAATGTTAATTCTCAGCTCCCTCAATGGAGCAGGTGACCATTGGGAGTTCTGACTCAGTGGTGCGATATCAAGCTGGCCCATCCAGGCAAGCCTACCTGGGTGACTTTACAATTGAAGCAAAATGTGGAACTTAACTGCTGCTCTGCCCTATGTGATAGACCTAGCTATTCGCTGAAGACTGGGTCCTCAATGTAAGGGTCATAAACAGGTTTGCATGGGGTTATACCCACCTTCTTTTCTTTATAGCTAGTTGGGAGGGGAATGCCAGAGCTTTTTCTGTTGTAACACAGGTTGCAGTATGGAAAAGATGAGAACCACTGCTCTACAGCAATGCCAGAAAGAAAACTTCTAAATTTAACACACACTTCTTCTCTCCTTGCTTTTTCCTATTGCTTTCGCTCTTCTTTTCCCCAAAAGAAAAGAGCAATTGGATGGTACTGCCAGGTATGTAACTGTCATGATTATATCCTTGCTTTAATATCATGGTTGAAGAATGCCTTATGGTTAATGTTTTGCTTGTAGGCTCACATGCCATGAACAAAAAATGCTATTAACATTGTAAATATTCATTCAAAACAATTTAAACGATGTATTTGAGTGCTTCCTTTATTCTTCCCTTTAATAATGGATCAAAGATAGTATGTGTACAAAATGTATGGTACTGTGGAATTTTTGTAACTAACCTAACTAGTTGTTTATGTGTAAGGATTGGCCTAAATAGACTTCTGTTAGATTAAGTGGTAGAACCATGGCTTAGCATTCAGGTTGTTATTGGGAGAATTTGGGTCTTCTAACTAACATTGTTGGTTAATAACACCGCAATATCTTGATATGAGAAATCATGATTGTTGTAATTCACTACGTTCACAAGCTCTTTGAGAACAGGTGTAATGAAATCCTAAGATAGACGAACATTATTACTAAAGTCCCTTGGCAGTTCTTAAAAAAACAACTCTTATTTAGGGTTTGATGTAATGTCCATTGGCATTCCCAATGGAAGACTCCCATTGACTTTGGAGCAGATCCCAACTGAAAAGAAGTAAGGTTTCTTCAGTGACTGAGTAGGGATGTGATATTAGTCAGACTGCAGCTTCTTAACACACTAGGAAAGCACGTATACACCAGGGATAAAATTTTCAAAAGCAATTAATTCAGTAGGACTTTGGCTCTGAAGTCACTTTGGTGCTTTTGAAAATATTACCCTAGAATCCCTTCTTTCCCTAGGTTGTGTTTCTTTTGAAACAATAGCAGAATGGTTACTGATCTTGCAATCATTATAACCAGACAGCACAAGGAAATGAGTATTTCATGAGAGGTTGAACCACTCGAGATAAATAGGCAGGTGTGTGCAGTTCCCATTGACCTCAGTAGACTTTGGATCAGGCCCCATGATGCTGTCAATATGACAACTTCCTATCCGATTGCTAATTGTTCTATTACAATTAGCACAATTAAAATTGCTAAGTGACTTGCTCTTCTTTTTAATTAGATCTAATAAAGGATATTATAATTTATATTACACTCCAGTTTTCCTTTAACATTGCATAGAAACAAACGATGAAGGCATGCTTTCTTAGTACAGGGCATGGCACAGAAAGCGACTGGGTTTCCGGTACCTGGAAGCCACAAAGCTCTTAGTGAGAAAGTTGTAGCAGCAAAGTGTATTGTTTGAGCTTTGGAGTGCAGGGGGAGTACGAGGAGTTGAGCTGTGCCTGTCAAAGAGGAGCTAGAAATAAATAACTAGTGTATAGACTCAAATTGAGGCAGGGTTTGGTGATGAACAATAGTTTTTTAAATCTCCATTCTGTGCCCACTGAATTCAGTGGCAAAGCTCCATATGATTTCATTGAGAATAGTGCATGCACACACGCACACAGATATAAATTCAGTATTGTCTTTCTCTCATTTCCATGAACAAATAGAATATTAGTCAGGTGCAGGGGTAGTTTAAGTCAAGACTCTTGCAATCTGGACCCAGTGGTGCAATAGACTCACAGCTGTATGTGACTATTTGGGGTGCTTGGGGAGGAGAGGAAAGGGCCACCGAGGAGGCTGTAGAGGGGGGAAGAGGAATGTATCCAGTGGTGAGGTTACATGAAAGTGTCTGTGAAGAAGGAAGGCTGATATAATTTTTGTGGCACCCCAAAGTTTTACTGGATCTCACCTTTCATGTAGGGTAAAACCAGGCAGTTATGTGATGTGGTTGGATGAAGAGCAGGCCTGACTGTCCATGGTCCCTGGTGTTGGCACAGGATAGGATGAGACTCTGGTACGAATGCTGGGTATGCCTTCCTGGTAGATTCAGTTCTGCTGTGCATGTTGCTGCTGCTCTTTGAAAAACAGTTCCTCCCCCATAGATGGTACATACCCACACTCTACAAGGCAGCATTTAGCCCCTACTCTTAAATCATCTCTAGTCAGGATTTACCTGGTTATGGCTTCACGCCAGAAGTCTTGTTCACTTGCCTTTCATTCCTCGAGCACCTTAAATACTGGGTTGCTAGTTACTATGAGTGCAGTATCACATAGACATTTTTCTGTAGAAAGATGAATTCACTCCTCCTCCTTTGTCTGACATAGCCCAGATCTGTTCTTCTCCAGGGTGCATTGCAAGGCCTGTCAGTTGACTCAGACCTAATCCCATAGGGGAACTTTTCTGACTTATAAACAACCCTGGTGAAGTGGGCTAGCGAAAGGATCTGAGTCCTCGCTCCCACTTCCTTTACCCAGAGGCCTGCCTGACCTCAAGGGCTCCCCTTCCACTCTCCTGCGTGGCAGAGTCCTCGTAACCCCAACAAGGCTGGGCCCAGGATTCCTGGGGGGCTCAACCCCCAATCTTGTTGTGGTCACTTAGGGCAGGGGCTGGGGTGTCCCCACTCCAGGGTATTCTCTCTGCACTGGGCACTTCCCTGACCCACTGATCATTACATACAGTTCAAAGCAAATACAATTTATGAAACAGCAACCAATTTAAAAAAATAAGGAAAAAATGGGAAAGGTTAAAGGAAACATAACCCCGCTCTGTGGCACAGGGACATCACAACCAGTGTCTCTGGAATGTCAGGGAAGTTCAGACTGTTCCTCACATGTCCCAGGCCCTGGCTGTGCTGCAGGGATGCTGCGGGTCGGACACTTACTCTGGCAGTGGCCACACGCCCTCAGGCTTTAGGTGGCAGGACCCTTCTTCCCAGCATTGCCCCTGCCCCATCAGGGTTACAATCCCCCTCCGAGTCTGACCTGCAGGGCCTCTTGGCTGGGGGCATCTCCCTGTGCTGGGCCCACTGCCCAGGGTCCCCCTTGCTCTCCCCAGCTGCTCACCGCACCCGGCTCCACTCTGTCTCAGCTCCAGCTCCACCACTCTGCCCCAGCACTGCTTCTGCTCTGCCTCCAGCTCCCTGGGCTGCTTCTCTGGCCCCTCTGGCTCTGGTTGCTACAGCTCTGCTCCCCAGCTCCGCTTGGGCCCCTGCTTTCTCCTTAGCTCAGCCCCACTCTGTCTGACCTAGGCAATTCTGGCTCACAAGGAGGACGGGACCCCCCCGACCTCCTGACTCCCTGATTAGCCTGCCCACCCTGTCAATCAGGCTAACCTAGAGCATTGGCCTCTCCCCATTGCCCCTGGGGACTGTCTGTCTCAGGGTCCTGATTTTTCATCGACCCTTCCCCTTTCTTTTGGTACTGGGAGCTGTCCAACCAAAACACCCCCACTGAGTTTTAATCAGGGGACAACAGTCCCCTTACATGAGGTTCATTTGGCAGTGGGAGTTCTTTATCACCATTAGTTGATAAATGTATGTGTGTTAAGCGTACATTTTCAAAGCTTCCACTAATTTTTGAGTGGGATCCTGAAATGTGCCTTTTTTGTTCCAACTTTTTGCAAACTTCCTCTGTATTTGAGAGACGAGGAAGGTGAGGTTCTATCTTTTATTGGACTAACTTCTGTTGGTGAGAGAGACAAGGGAGGAATTGTGGGCCCAATTTTCAGCAGTGCTGACATCTAGTCCATTGACTTCAGCTGGAGCTGTGGATTCTCACCGTCTCTGAATATCAGGCCCTTACACAAAAACAGCCATAATAGACAAGTCTTTCAGGTTTTGAACCTGATTCTGCAGCCCTTACACAAAGTCAGAAAGAGTTTTGACTGGGTATAGAGAGCATTGTCTAGTGGTTAGACTATGGGATTAGGTATCAGGAGATCTAGGTTCTTTCCAAACTCTGACACTGTCTCATTATCTGCCTGTCAGCAAGTCATTTATCATCTCTGTTTTCTGATCTCTAAAGTAGGATTGATACAATACATACATAATAAATATACATAAATATAAAGGCATTTTGAGAACCTTGGATGAAAAGAGCTACACAGGTCCCTTAATATGTTGTTATAAAGGATTGTGTATAATCTAATATTTCTGTGTTGCTGGTAACAATAGCATGACAAAAATAAAATCATATTTTGCAAGGATAGCTGGAAAATGTCACTGTCTGCATTTTTTTGAATGGACCTCCAGGAAACCGAAAAGGCGGGGGGGATCTGCACCCCACATTTTAAAGCACAAATGGAAGGCCCTTTCCATACTTCACTGTTTCACTAATAACCATTAATCTCTCATCTTAACAACTTCTTCTTCACTTTACAGTAATGTCATATTTACTGGGGAGTCATTCTTTGGATCAAGCATCACAAGAAAACTTAGGCTCAGTTATTACTTGAATGTATATACCTATCTTTCTCTTTTCATGTTTGCTGCATACCATTTTCTGTCTGTGCTTTCTTTTTTTACTACAGTAGTTCATCTAACAAAAAAAAAGCAATGGCACAAAAAAGCTAGCACAGAATGGGCAATGTTTAAAAGATGTTAAGGGAGGCAGTGTAGCTTAGTGGTTAGAACACTGGGTTGCCATTCGAGTGACCTGGATTCTATTTCTGGCTCTGATACTGGGCTGCTGAATGACCAGGGGCAATTCACTTCCCCACTTTGTGCCTCAGTTTCCCCATCTGTAAAAGCACTTTGAGATCCAATGATGAAATGTGCTGCATAAGACCTAGGTATTATTTTAAGACCTCAATCCTGTGAATACCAACACATGTGAATAACTTTGCATGTGAGTTCAATGGTACCACTCACTTGTGTGAACTTACTCATGTGTATAAGTGTTTGCAGGACCAGGATCTTAGACCCTGATTCGTCAAAGAACTTAACTTTAAGCATGTAAGTAAAGTTGAATCCGGGCCTAAGACAGTAAGCAATTTGGAGCAAAAACTGCATCTTCCTGCAGATGGCCTGTATCTTGCATATTGCAGGTGCATGAAATACAAATAATAAATAATAATTAGGGGACCTGTCTAGATGCATTGTTGTAGAAACTGATTTTTTGCCTAAATTGTCAAGCATTTTATTTTATCCTCACAATTTTTTCTTATCATTCTGCTGTAGCTCATTAATTCT